CTCCTTCAAGGTCCGCCTGAAGACCCTGGGGGATCCTCTTCGATCGCGCTTTCGAACACCTTCCTATCCCCACCCTCCCTCACCTCCACCCCTCCTGATCCCAACCCCATACTCCAAATCCCTGACTAGCGCCTTGGTGTGAAATGGTGTGAAATTTCCCGATGTGAAAGGCGCTATATAAATGTAATTTGTAGTTGTTGTTGTTATTACCATTAACTGAACCCCAATCTCAAAATCACTGCCACAGGTTAGTTACCGGGCTGAAAGATCTATTCTGCCCCTTATGGAGAGCTATCTCTATCTTCAGTCTTTTGCTTTTGGGGTTGAGCATCCTATTGGACACTAGTAACTGAGAAGCTTCATAATAACAATAATAATAATCCGTGCCTGTGATATAATGCCTTTAATATTGGGACAATGTCTCAAAGCGCTTCACGCAATTTTACTGTAAAGTGTAGTGACTGTGTATTTTTTGTAAACAAACAAGGCAGCCAATTTGTACATGGCAATGTTCCACAAACAGTCATGAACTGAATAACCAATTTTATCTGGGGGATTGTTGGGCAGAAATCTGCTTTGCTTTCCAAATATTGCCATCAGGATCTTTAATGTCCATCTGAACAGGCAAACAGGACCTCAATTTTATGTCTCACACAAAGAACAGCATCTCCAACAATGCATTGGAGTGTCAGTCTACTAGATTATGTGAGTTCCAAGTCCCGCTGCGGGGCTTGAATCCGCAACCTTCAGAGGCTACTAACAGCCAGGCTGACGCAATTTGAGATTAGTCACTGGGGGATGTGATAACTGCAGTTCCAAGCTATCAAATCCTATCAAGTCAGTTATCTCTGTTAAATCTGGCTGGGCCATAACTAAACACTATCAATGTCTGTCTAAACTCCATACACACTGCCACTCTCAGTCTAAACTCCACACACACACACACTGCCACTCTCAGTCTAAACTCCACACACACACACACTGCCACTCTCAGTCTAAACTCCACACATACACACACTGCCACTCTCAGTCTAAGCTCCACACACACACACTACCACTCTCAGTCTAAACTCCACGCACACACCCTGCCACTCTCAGTCTAAATCCTGTGAAGCACATCTAGACAATGTGTTAAGGCACTAATATCAAATGCAAGGATTATTGTTAATAAACTGTACCCACACACTGCCACTCAGTCTTATTTTATCCAAATGGCATTATCAAGTGGTTCATATAATAATAATCCTTGCATTTGATTTAGCACCTTATCTCATTGTTGAGATGTCTCAAAGCATGTCACAGGATATACTGTAAAGTGAATTGACAAGGTTTCCAGGCAGGGCAAAACCTTGGGCAAGTTTCCTTAATCCACACGCCTAATATTAATCCCTCCAAAACAAAGCAATAATAAATTGGTCATTTTCCATCTACGACTATTTGTGGGACATTGCTGTGCGCAATTGGCTGCCGTGTTCGCCCACAAATATAGTCAATTCACTTTACAGTGTGTTCTGTGAAGCGCTTTGGGACGTCCTCCTGACGTGAAAAGCGCTATATCAAATGCAAGGATTATTATTAGTGTATATTGTGATGTATTGTAAATTACATCAATGTAAAATTAAAACAATATAAGAGTCGTATATATAAATTTCAGCCTGCCAATTATAGGAATGCATAAAAAGTCAACTGTATTGTAACACATGACACCTTCATTCAAACCAGACCAGCACAGAGCAACCAAGTGAGAAAGAGTTTACTAGCAGCACAGACTCAATGCCACTGTTCGTATTGGCAAAGTGCCAGCCTAGCTCAGCTGGTAGCATCCTTGCCTCTGAGTCAGAAGGTTGTGGGTTCTGAATCATGTTGGAACTTTAAGCTCACAGTCTAGGCTGACATTGCAGTGCAGTGCCTGGGAGGGGGAGTTGCAATGTTGGAGATACTATTTTTCAAATGAGATATTAAACCAAGGTCCCATTCAGGTATGCATTAAAGATCTCAGAGCACTTCTTGTAATAATATTAATAATACATTTGATATTAGCACTTTCACATCTGAACGACTCAAAGCGCTTAATAATAATCCTTGCATTTGATATAGCACCTTATCCCATTGTTGAGACGCCTCAAAGCGCTTCACAGAATATACTGTAAAGTGAATTGACTATATTTTGTGGGCGAAATGTGGCAGTCAATTATGCACAGCAGTGTTCCACAAATATTTGTGAATTGAGGGACCAAATTATTTTTTGAGGGATTATTACCGCCAATAATCGATCTGCCAAAAGCCATCCACCAATTGACAAACAACTGGGTGCCTATTTACTTCTAGGTGAACAGAGACATGTGGAGGTAGGAAGGACTCCACTTTCTCCAACCACTTAATCAATAAGACTAAAGCATCCTTTGTGTAAGCCACCCCTCGGAGATAAGTCACACATTAGAGCTGAGCTCTCTGGAGCTTTCCCTGCTAAGTGTTTTCTGGAAGACACAATGTGATATTGGTTCGCCAGGCCTGGCTGTCTCAGCCTAGAGTAATGTCCTCCGTCTTGTGGAGCTAATTTTATTTATTGCTGGATAATTGGGGGCAAATCCTTCTGGGTCAGAGTTGCTTTCAAAGAATATTTATAAAACTGCAGCCCATTCCCTGGAGAATAGGAAACCACAGAGGGCATGACCTCTGACCTGTAAAAACATGGTGGTCCTCACATACCACTTAACATCCTCTGGTAAACTCTATTAATTCTTCATTTTACACCTGCCCAATTCAACCCAGTGTGGAAACAAGGCAGAAACAACTGTTTGTGGGACAATGTTGTGCCACAATGTTGTGCACAATTGGCTGCTGCATATCGCCAGAATATTCTGTGAAGTGCTTTGAGACGTCTCAACCACATGATGAGGTGCGATATCAATTGCAAGATTATTAATAAATGTTCCAGAGAATGTCACAAGGACTGTAAGCTTTGTCAGCCTGGCTCAGTCGGTAGCACTCTCGCCTCTTAAGAGTCAGAAGGTTGTGGGTTAAAGGTCCACGCTGGGGACGTTGAGCTCACAGTCCTGACTGACACTCCACTAGAGGAAGGCTGTATTGCTGGAGTTGCCATTTAACTGAGGACTCATCTGCCACATATTGTCCCCTTCCCTCCACAAACTGCAGATTATTCAATACTCTGCAGCTTGTGCCCTTTCCCACACCAAGCTCCGGGAGTCTAGCACCCCACCCTCACCTGGCTTCACTGGTTCCCCATTCCCCAGAGTATTGAGTTTAAGATCCATGTCTTCACTTTCAATGGCTCCATATTCTTGCTCCTCCCTACCTCTGCAACATACTAACCCCACAACAACCTTCCCACTCCCTCCACTCAGCAGGCACTGGCCTGCTCCATGTCCCCCATCCTGCCTGCCCCACCTTCGGCAAACAGGCCTTTAGCCTTTCTACTACCACCCCTTGGAACTCCATCCCAGAGTCTCTTTGCCTCGCCCCCCAGTCCTGCCTCCTTCAAGCCCCGTCTCAAGACTTCCCTCTTTGACAGCTCCTTTGGCCGCCCTCCCACCGCCATCTCCTTTGGCCTCCACCCCTTTTGATTCCAATCCCCAGCTCGGCTACAAACCCTTTACTGGCCAGCCCATTGGAACATCCTCCCGACATAAAAGATGCTATATAAATGTAATTTTTGTTGTTGTTGTTGTATCAGCCCCACCATTGGCAGCTCGATTCCTCCACTCATTGAAGGCCTGTCTCAAGACGAACCTCTTTGCTTCAGTATCTTTACCCTTTCCACCCTCTTCGGTTCCCATGCTCAGTCAGCATTGACAAGTGCTTTAGACATTCTCCCTGGCGTGAAATGTGCTCCACAAACGTAAATTGTGCTATATTTCAGGCGTATCAGACATCCAGCTGACCAAAAAAAACGTGAGGATTCTTCCCCAAAGACAAGAAACCTTCAAGAAATTTAAGATTTAAAAAAAAGAATGGATTTCTAAACCTAGGCTTCTCTATTTGATGGAGCTCATTCCACTCTTTAGAACATAAGAAAATAAGAATAGCTAGATGAAAGAAGACTAAGGTCCATCCAGTTCGCCCTCCACCATCCTGGTAGTCATATGCACATATCATGTCCCAAACTATATATTGTATCCAAAGATATTATTTCCTAAAAGAAATATATCTAATTTGCTTTTCAAAAGAATCAACACTTTCTGCTTCCACTGTATCTCCTTAAGGAGGCTGTTCCATACATTTGCTGCTCGCTCACTGAAATAGTGTTTCCGTGATTTGTTATGAATTTACCCCCCTTCAATCGCAGACCATTACTTTCCTACAATAGACAAAACTGGCAACTCAGTGATGGACCTCAGCATTACAGCCATCTGTGGAGGTACGCAGATGTGAAAAAATTCAACCAGGTTTATTGGAGCACAGAGGATGAGGCCACAAAATTCCACCTGTTCTCAGCTCAAAAACCATTGCCTTATAGTTTAAGATTTTGGAAAGATAAGATTTTTAAATACGGAAAACAGTTTTGAATCCATTTCCCTCCCTTATCATCAGACGAGCTTTCGGACATTCTTCCCCCGCTCTAGGGAACTGAATCCCTGGGGCCCCTCTACCTTTCCCTCTCAACCCTCCCCCTCCCTCCCCCTCCTCCGCTTTTAAAGCCTGGTTTAAGACTTCTTTGACCGGGCTTCCAGTCATCCTTGAGAAACAGCTTGTTACTCCAAAGAAATGTAGGAAAGTAGGCACAGGAGGAGGCCATCTTGGCAGATCTTTTAATCCCAATTCCCCACACTCTTTGCACCACATCACTCAAAACCTCCACCATCCAAGTATCCATCCACCTCTCTGTTGAACATCTGGTGTAAAGTTTGTGCTAATTAACATAAGGAACACGTTACGGAACACTGCAAACATTAGTCCAATAGGGTGAAGCCTAAGGCCATGAGGCAGATGGAGCTGAACAAGGGGAGAAGGGACAGTTTGCCGGCTGGCTGTTAACTTACTGATCACGATGAGGGTATAGTTGAGGTTAATGCTGCCGAAGCCATTGGTGGCCTTGCAGATGTATGTGCCGGCATCCTCGGCCTCCACCTCCTTGATCTTCAGACCTTGGCGTCGGACCCGGAATCGTGTCCATCCGCTGTGGATGGTGCGGCCGTCTTTGGTCCACATGGTCAGCGGGGGAGGGTCGCCCTCCACTAGGCATGGCAACTTGATCGTTCGGCCCAACCTGACCGTCTGTCTGCTCAGAACCTTCTCCGATATTTGCGGCGGACCTGAGGAACAAGAGGCTCAGAAGTTGAGGTGACTGACAAAATAAAGAGTCCTTCAGATGAGACATTAAACCAAAGCCTGTCTGTCTGCTCAGGAGGAAGTTAAAGATCCCATGGCACTATTCAAAAGGAGAAGGGAGTCTCTCCCATTCTCCTGGTCAACAATCCCCCAAACAAAATTGGTCACTGCATGGCTGTTTAGTGGATATTGCTATGGGCAAACTGCCTATCACATCTTGCCCACAAATTATACAGTCAATCCACTGCAAATTATATCCTGTGAAGCGCTTTGAAACATCTCAACAATAAGGCACTATATCAATTATAATTATTATTATAAAGAGTCCTTGTCTCCTCACAAGATTGGTTAAGGTGAAGACGTCCCTTTGGCCTATCTATATCATCCTTCCAGAACACCCACCCTATAGTCCCTCCATCACAGCATCAAGTTGCTTTAAAATCAGTCCAGTGTCCTGGCATCAACCGCCCTTCCTGACAAACTATCTCCGTCGTTGACATGTGTCCTCGTGTTCTACTGCTTGCTGCATTCTTCCAGAGTCAATGCATTTTGCAATATATTCTGTGAAGCACTTTGAGACATCTCAACGATGTGATAAGGCATTATATCAAATGCAGGGATTATTATTTTTATCTTCAAGTATTGATCTGGGTTTCCTTTTTCAATCCCATTTAAAATGTTGTACACCTTTATGAGGTCCCCTTGGAGTCATCTTCATTTAAGACTGAAGAGCCTGAGCTTGTGTCGATGGCTTAGTGGCTAAACAGCACAGCTACCAAAGCAACAGGAGGTCACGCGGATGGTAGGTTTGAATCCTGGTTTGTGCTGATCTCAGTTGAGGTTTCAGTTGGGGGGTGAGATACAGGACTTATATTTTTATATAGTTCAGTCTGGGGATAGGAGCAAATTTTTCCAAATTGTTGGCCCAGTAGTAGCACTCTCACTTCTTTGTCAGAATGTTGTGAGTTCAAATCCCATGTCGGGACTTGAACTCACATAGCCTAAACTGACAATCCAATGCAGTGCTGGGGGTTGGAGGTGCCAACAAACTTAGTTTGCAAGATCGTTCATTTTAAGAACGGCATCAAAAAAAGGAAGATGCAAACAGCTTCCAAATTAAAGATTTAACATTTTTTTAAAATTTCAGAAGAAGAAAAAAAGCAAGGTCTCGTGGGTAAAAGTGGGTGGAATTTCAGGCTTACGAATGGCAGAATTGAAGTCCTGCTGGTGTGTGTTTGGCAAAAGAAACCCGTTCTGAGCTGCATCTGGGAGTGTGACCACATCTAGAGACCAACCTGGTGGATTTGTTTGACAATCCTTTCTCAACTAGCGAACCAGATGAAAAGACATGGCCGCATAGGCATAGTAATTACCTCTCTGCAGTTTGACTGATGCAAGCCATCTGGGCCAACGTTCTGCATTCTGTGGATAACCACTGCCCTTATAATGAGCTCTCCCCATCACTATCTCCTCTCCTCCTCCCCCCATCCCAGCCCACACACCATTTCCTCTTAATTGCTTTTGATGTCCTTCACATTGGGAAGACATCTCAAAACACTTAAGAATAAGAATAAGAATAGTGGTAATCCTTGCATGTGATATAGTGCCTGCCTTATTATGTCATTGAGACGTCTAAAGCGCATAATATATTGTAAAATATTCACATAATATATTGTAAAATGCATTGACTGTTGTTAGTTGATTGGGGAATCATTTCTGAGCATAATAATCCCTCAAAAAAAATTTGGTCACTCAATCCACGATTGTTTGTGGGACACTACTGTGCACAATTGGTTACCGTGTTTCGCCCACAAAATAAACAATAAATCTACTTTACAATATATTCTGTGAAGCGCATTGAGAAGTCTCAACGACATGATAAGGCACTGTATCAAATGAAAGACTCACTATTATTATCACGTCACCATTAACTTCTCACAGAATCTTGTTTTGAAGTGTAGTGACTGTATTTGCAGGGGAATTAGGAGGATGGCAAGATGAGGCAGAGAAGAAGGAGGGAGGGTCCAAGGAAGTGAGGCAGTGAAACAACAAGGGAGCAAAGGAGTGAGGGAGCAGAGCTTGAGGATGAGGGGTTGGGTCCCCTCCTGTTGTTGACCAAAGCCTTTCCTCACAGGCTGTCCATGGAGCATTGAGGACTATTATCTACAAAGAAAGACTATCCAGGCATTTGTCGAGTGAAAGTAGCAGAGATTTTTTTTAAGGGTTTATTACTCTGGAAAGACCATTCGACAATCGACTAACAAGTCGATTCCTACTTAGTGCCAGGTAAACATAGGTGTAAACAGAGTCTCTCCTTCAAGGCCTGTCTCAAGACCCACCTCTTCGTCCACGTCTTCGGCCACCCTCCTACCCTACTTGCCCTGCACCCCACCTGATCCCAATCACCTGCTTGGGTCCAAATCCCTGAGTGTCCAGCACCTTGGGACGTCTACCCTATGTGAAAAAGCCCTACACAAATGTAATTTGTTGTTGTTGTAGTATATGTGGTGAAGGAGGGGGAGGGGACAGAGAGAGTGAGGGAGAAAACAACTATCAGTGAAAAGGGAAGCCGATACAAAATTGAAGGCAGTGGAGACCGAGGAAAAACAATCACTTGATACTTTATTTGGTCAGCCAGGTGTCTGACACCCACAGAAGCCCATCACCATGCTTAAGAGCAACCAAAGCAAATTGAGAGTTTCCTGCATGGAGTGCATGTTCGTTGCTTGTTCCCTGCATATTCCTACACATGCAGGGAACATGTACTAGCTAAACATAGATGTGTGTTGGGGTACTGCTGATGGCTAATCAGCTAAAACTGCACAGCTCTGGCTGGAGATAAAATCGTAAAAGCCGAAATGCAAATCTTGTATAATCTGCCTTTCTTTCCTACATCCGAACTGGTTTTAATTGGTCACGTAAGGGGGGGAAGACTGCTCTTACTGTTAACATAGTGCAAGGGAAATTTCACTTAACCACATACATATGGCCAACACACCACAAGAGACGCCAGTCCTCGGAGACCAATTGCACTAACATTGTTTAAAGTGAACTTTATTATCACATTAAAAACACATCTGAGAAGAGCAAATTCCTACCAAGGTCAAAGTGTGTGGACCTTTTTTTTAAGGGGTGACAGTGGGTGGCGGGAGTGGGTTCTGAGGTTAGAGGGGTTTGTTGTCATTTCTTGTGTCTCAATGACTGCTTTATTTGTGTTTGTTAAGAGTAAATTTTCCCCTTTACTTCCGCTTCCTACCCTTATCCTTATTGTGAAGTCCTGTAGTGTAGTTGTTAGAGCACTCGCCTCACAAGCGAGAGGACATGGGTTCAATTCCCGGGCAGGGCAAAACCTTAGGCAAGTTTCTTTACTCCACACGCCTCTGTTTATCTAGCAGTAAGCAGGAACCCGGCTGTTAGTCGATTCGTGGATCACTTTAATAATAGTAATAATAGTAATAGTATTTAGTAATAATGCTTCCTACAAAAAATATATTAAATTTGGTCACTCAATCCACAACTGTTTGTGGGACACTTCTGTGTGTAAATGACTGCTGAGTTTCACCCACAAAATATAAAGTCAATTCACGTTACAGCATATTCTGTGAAGCGTTTTGAGACGTCTCAAAGACCTGATAGGCGCTATATCAAATGCAAGAATTATTATTATCATATATAAACATTTTAGACAGACATTCAGGGAGGACGCTAGCAGCTCAGGTCATCAGCCTCAACCCTTGGATAGGGGGTGGTGGGTGGTTGAGAGTTCAGTACAAGAACTCTGAATTACCCTGACTGACAGGTGGGAGCAGGCGATCTGGGCTTACTGCACCAAAAACGCCATCACACTTTACCCCAAAGCTTTACGCTAAACTTTGGCTACTATGTCTTGTACCCACTACCCACTTTGGAACCCAATTGCAATGTGAGCTTTCTTTGCCCACCTTCAAAACCCTCTTAAAAATCTCTCTCTGACCAACTAGAATAACTCTGATAGCACCCTTCACACAGCATAGCATTAGACACAGAGTGAGGGAGAGAGGGGTGGGAAAGGGCACCATAAGCATGGTTGAAGGAGGGCGGAGGATCAAGCGTGGTCTGCATTTACCAGACCAGTCTCCTCCACAGCACCCACTCCACCACACTCGACGTCCTTGCCCCACTCACTTCCCGAACTGCCTCCTATTCCTGATCCTCACCCTGGTTCACCAGCCACCTCCACTCAAGGGCCATGTCGGGCTGCTGAACACATTTGGCTCAAATCCGGCCTAACTGCCCACCGCTACATCTGGCTGGACCTCATCAAGAACTACCGTTCTGCTCTCACCTCAGCCAAATCATCCTTCTATTCCAGGTTAATCCTGGAGGTGAAGGACAACCCCAGACTCCTGTTCTCAAACACCAACCGGCTCCTTCGCCCTCACCACCATGCCTCACAGATTCTTTCCTCCGACTCCCACTGCGAGGAAATGCTGGACTTCCTCGAGTCCAAAATCGAGGGAATCCACTCAGCTGCCACTGCCCTCCCAACTTCCACCCCCACACTCCGACCACTACCCATCCCTCCTTCCACACCTTTGAACCTGTCACCCCCTCCTCTGTCATCACCACCACATCCTACATGAAGTTCACCACTTGCTCCTGGACCCCCATCCGACCCCTCTCCTTAAATCCCAGTTCCACCTCCTTACCCCACTACTCGCCAACATCATCAACCTCTCCCTGTCATCTAGCAGTGTTCCTACCCCCCTCAAAACAGCCACTATCCCCCCCACCTTGAAGAAACCTTCCCTTGAACCATCACAGCTATCCAGTTACCGGCCCATCTTCACAACTCAGGCACTGGCAGCATCAGCATCCATGACTGCACACTCAACCTCACTAAGTCAGTCAGGAACCAGGGTGTCTTGTTACTGCCTCACTGCCTCACCCCTCAGGCTGCCAAAACTCTCACATGCATTTTTCACCTCAAGGCTTGATTACGAGA